CTTAGATACAAGAAACTACGGAGCGGAACACCTGGACACCCTGGACTTCCACGCCCAATACCTAGATACAAGAAACTACGCAGCGGAACACCTGGACACCCTGAACTTCCACGCCTGACACCTAGATGTAAGAAACTACGGAGCGGAACACCTGGACACCCTGGACTTCCACGCCCAATACCTAGATACAAGAAACTACGCAGCGGAACACCTGGACACCCTGAACTTCCACGCCTGACACCTAGATGTAAGAAACTACGGAGCGGAACACCTGGACACCCTGGACTTCCACGCCCAATACCTAGATACAAGAAACTACGCAGCGGAACACCTGGACACCCTGAACTTCCACGCCTGACACCTAGATGTAAGAAACTACGGAGCGGAACACCTGGACACCCTGGACTTCCACGCCCAATACCTAGATACAAGAAACTACGCAGCGGAACACCTGGACACCCTGAACTTCCACGCCTGACACCTAGATGTAAGAAACTACGGAGCGGAACACCTGGACACCCTGGACTTCCACGCCCAATACCTAGATACAAGAAACTACGCAGCGGAACACCTGGACACCCTGAACTTCCACGCCTGACACCTAGATGTAAGAAACTACGGAGCGGAACACCTGGACACCCTGGACTTCCACGCCCAATACCTAGATACAAGAAACTACGCAGCGGAACACCTGGACACCCTGAACTTCCACGCCTGACACCTAGATGTAAGAAACTACGGAGCGGAACACCTGGACACCCTGGACTTCCACGCCCAATACCTAGATACAAGAAACTACGCAGCGGAACACCTGGACACCCTGAACTTCCACGCCTGACACCTAGATGTAAGAAACTACGGAGCGGAACACCTGGACACCCTGGACTTCCACGTCCGACACCTAGATACAATAAAATAAGGAGCGGAACACCTGGACACCCTGGACTTCCACATCCGACACCTACATACAAGAAACTACGGAGTGGAACACCTGGATACCCTGGACTTCCACGCCCTACACCTAGATACAAGAAACTACGGAGCGGAACACCTGGACGCCCTGGACTTCCACATCCGACACCTAGTTACAGAAAACTACGGAGAGGAGCATCTGGAAATCCCATATATCTAAAAATTGTCACCTAAAGTACGAGGAACTATGTTAAAGCACACACATACACACATACGTACACGCATACACACGCGCTCCACATGAAAGCCTTAATAATTCTATACTATTGTAAAAGCAGCCTTATGTCAACTAGAAATTCGGTGTGAACGGTAGCTTCGCGTACAAAGTGTATTTGATTGTGTTGTGTATTCGTAAATTACCAACACCATCCAGAGTACAAATAGGTAAAGAAGGCAAAGCAGTCAGCGCCATCTGTTGTGTAAAAAATGCGATGGACGTGCGAAGACGACGACGATGACGACGACGACGACGACGGAACTGAAATAAAATCATCTCGCTCGCCATTTCAATACGCCCTGATCTCGTACACTAATCGTATTGAACTTGGTGGCAATCGCTTCAGAACCTTCAATTCCTATAGTGAATGTATCAATAACTTTTCCTCATATATAGCGGTTCATAAGATATTTCGTTCCAAACACAGGTATAAGTAGTTGACTCGAGTAAAGAGTCTCGGCGCGCTGCGCCCTGTACAGCCGGTTGCCTGTACTTGGCGCGAGACTCGACCGAGTCTCTTGATTCTATGCAATGCTGAATTCCTTTCGGAAAAATATCGTTGGCAATGTCGTAGTTGCAAAACAACGAGATCAGTGAGAACTGGTTCGTTTTTTGGCAAATCGAAGTTATCAATGATCGAAATTTTACAATTGACATATTTTTGGATTCATAAGTACACCTAGATTCAGTCTCAGTGGGAATTTCAATGTTCCCCAGACACGACGGTCGACTGGTACTATTTCTGTCGGTTATGGTTAATTTTTTTTCTAATAGGCGGCGTGACTATTCCATGCGATTCACATTATATCCGGCAGATGGCGTTACCTCAAAAAACCTAAGTCACTAGCAGCCAACTTCAGTTCGGAGTCGTATACTGCAGTTTTACCGTGTCAACCTTCTGGATGGATTACGGCCGATCCCTACGTAGTTGTGAGTCGAGTGATCTGTAGAGTGATGTAAAACCTAGTTTTGTGTATAACTGTATAACATACATTTTTAAATGTATTTTTCTCAAATATTTCTTTCTCAAAGTTTTCATTTACAACATCGTAATCTGTTAACCTAAAATTAATACGAAGAAACTGCATTATTATTAATTATCATATACATTTTTCATTAATCATACATAATAACGAAACCTTTTTTTGTATCCTATTTTGAACATAATATTGAAGATGTTTAAAAATATTGTTATTGGAATTTCGGGAGGCGTCGATAGTGCCGTATCTACGTTATTATTAACGAAAAAAGGTAGAATTAGTTTGTTAATAATATTTATTATACCTAAATAGATGATATTTTCTGTAGGTTTCAATGTAACTGCTGTTTTTATGAAAAATTGGGATATTACTGATGAAACTGGTTATTGTACTGCTGAAAAAGATTACGAAGATGCAAAGTGGGTTTGTGATAAGCTGAAAGTTCCACTGCTTAATGTAAACTTTGTTAAAGAATATTGGAATACTGTTTTCAGGTATTTAATAATGATTTCAATAAATCTATTAGTGTTTCGTTTGTTTGCGGTTTTTAAAGATGCTTTTACTTTCATTACTTTTTAGTGATTATTTCAGTCCTGCAGTTACAAAAATTATAGGCTCAGCAACTAAAGAAAAACACTAACTTATATAATTTCCATTTTTAATATATTTTATTTTGAAACAATTGAACAAATATGAGTAGTCAAGCATTATAGAGTCTTACATAGTATTAATTTCAGTTTTACGATAAGATTTGCTAGTCTCATGCCAAGTATATATAGGAATTAAACCTAATTATTCAACTCAAATGCATTACATAAACATGGTTTTACTATAAGAATGAAATGGACATTTTAACTTCAGGTGGTACATTTGGTTTGGATAATCCCACGTATACCTTAACACTAAATATACCATCAATGAGTCTTTTCAAAGTTCCAAAAGTACAAAATTGTTGGTATGTTTTGTGTTAAATATCAAAGAACTTAGATTAATGATCTTTATAGATGATTACCTAAACTGAGTTTAATAAATATCTAAATTACATTACATTTTAAGATTTTTAATTACTTACGCATATAAATTATTATAAAATATTGAAAACCTTATAATATTTAATGTTTTATTTAAACAACCCATTAATTTAATAATCAGTTTCAATTATAAATCTGTCATAAACTCATTGTTTTTCAGTGAACTAGTCAAGGAATATGAATCCGGTTATACACCAAATCCAGACATCCAATGTAATAAATGCATAAAATTCGATATGTTTTATAATTTTGCGCGAAATGAACTGAAAGCTGATGCTATTGCCACTGGACATTATGTAAGAACCAATTTTGGACCATATTTGGAAAATTTTCAGCCAAATATCAGTAAGAATACTCAATAATAATACTTAAAGAAACATGAGACATAATGATGAAATTTAAAAAAAAAATTGTCTGGCTTAGCACAAAACGTATCCAAAACTAGATAATAACATAATTTATTGAATTTCAGAGCATACTCATTTTATAATACAACTTTTTAAATGTAATTCCATCTGCAACTGATGTATTAATTATCATTCAATGTTTATCTATTGTATTTTGAAAGAAAATTCTGCATTTTTTTTAGTCTGTTTTGCTATGTATTTTATTTTTCATTATAGATGTAAAACTTCTCAAAGCTTCTGATTCTCGAAAGGACCAAACGTTTTTCTTATCACAAGTGCCACAAAAAGCATTATGCTATAGCATGTTTCCTATAGGTTCATGTCTGAAGAAAGATGTGAAAAAAATTGCACAAGAAGCTGGATTAAATTTAATAGTCCAGAAAAAAGAAAGCATGGGTATTTGTTTTATTGGCAGCCGACGATTTAAGGATTTCATTACCGAGGTATAAAGCTATGAATTCTACTTTCTATAATTTTTTTCTGTTAGAAATAATTATCGTTATCAATTTTAATTAATAATTGTTCTTTTTAATTCATTTTATTAATTAATTAGGCGCGACATCGGAAAAAAATGAACCAAAACTTATTTCGAAAAGTAACATGTTGTACAAGTAATTCCGAAGATCCCCCCAAAAAACACTTATGTATAAAAAACTATGCAAAGTACGGGAATGCTGTGAATTCCTATAACAAAAAATATTGAAATCATATTATTAATGCCAAGTACGTAAGTCACTACATATCTGCTTATTATATGATCTAGCACTGGCCCATCAGTTTAATTGTAATTTTTAAATTTTATATAACCGCTTCGCTACTCTTTTATGTTACTACCGCCTCATATTTAATTATGATTTAATGGTCATTAATTAATTAATAAAACTTTACGTGATTCGTTATCAAGTACTAGTTGACGGATCCATACCAGAAATTCAAAAGTACTTGAGTACTTAAAGGTTCACATACCCCTGCGCGCGCTGAAAACCGAGTGAATTTGAAAAATTATTATAAAGGTTATATGGTGACAAAAAAATTAAATTGTTGATTTCACATTTTTTATTAACTTTTCAACTATAACAAAAAAAAATGTATTATTTTTCATGGATATAAGTGGACTACTGATGAAAACTATGGCGCCTCCTTGTCAAAATCATAACTTCACCAAAAATAATCCAATCTGCAAAAATAAAAAAGAATTTTATAAAATAATGTAGTAGTAATTGTCTGACGGAGAGAATTTTTTTTTCAAAAATAATGAAATTGCAGTATTTCAAACTTTAATGTGCATTTAAAAAAAAAAAGAGTTTAATAATTTGTAATTAATAATTATCAAGATTAAAAAAAAAAGTTAAAAAATATTGAAAATTGACTGAGTTATCGTGCTAACACTATCTAAAAACATAGTTTTGAGAAAAACGCGTTTAAAGTTTCTGGTAGGCACATACATACAACGTAAACTTACGACTAATCTGCTATTCCAGCTTCGTACTGTACACTTTAATTAACTATATCCTGGCGTATTTCAAACGGTTAGCATCTTATAATAAATACGAAACGCAGCTGTCGAGAGGGGCGCGGCGGTTAGCCAGGTAGCCATCCCAACTCGATGTCCAGTCACATTTAATGCTATAACTTTGTAACGGAGTGGAATTTTCTTAAAATTTATTGTTTAAAAAATTCTTAAAAGTATAAAAAATAAAAATTGTAAAAAAATCAATTTTTTGAACATTTCAGTGGTATGTGAGCCCTTAAATACTTTGAATGTACTAATAATGTTCTAACACTATATGTTTATTAAGCTTTCACCGTGATTATTTTGTATGAGTTATTGCTCATATACTCTATATAGAAAGTTGGCGTTCATTTTGAGTTTGAAGACTGGCATAATGAACGCAAATTTATATCAACTTATGAATGCACGGACCCGCGAAGTAGCACTCGATAAGAAGTTACCTAAAGTTTTATTAATTATTAAATAACCATTAAATCATAATTAACTACAAGAAGCAGTAGTAATATAAAAGAAAAGCGAAGACGTTATAGGAAATTTTGAATATACAAATTGAAATGATAGTCTAATAATAGATCATATAATAAACAGATATGTAGTGACTTATGCACTTAGCATTATAATATGATTTCAATACCTTTTGTTAGAGAAATTCACAGCACTTCTGTACTTGGCATAATTTGTTATACGCAAGTGTTTTGTAGGGGGATACCACAAGTTTTTGTTGTTCAACAGGATATATTAAAGAAGTTGTAAGCACTCAAGTTTATATTGTTACAGATATAAAATGTAATTATGTTGTGATGTCGCTAATACGAAAAACATATTGCGTTGTTGAAAATGTTTAAAGGCATATAAATTTAATTTATCAGTTCACTTTTTTTTTTATAAATACGTAATAATATATACAAATTTTAAAAGAAAATGTAATCTTAAAATAGCTAAGCGTTGCTAATGGTGTCCATCAAGAGACTCGGTCGAGTCTCGCGCCAAGTACAGGTAACCGGCTGTACAGGGCGCAGCGCGCCGAGACTCTTTACTCGAGTCAACTCCTTATACCTGTGTTTGGAACAAAATATCTTATGAACCGCTATATATGAGGAAAAGTTATTGATACATTCACTATAGGAATTGAAGGTTCTGAAGCGATTGCCACCAAGTTCAATACGATTAGTGTACGAGATCAGGGCGTATTGAAATGGCGAGCGAGATGATTTTATTTCAGTTCCGTCGTCGTCGTTGTCGCCGTCGTCTTCGCACGTCCATCGCATTTTTTACACGACAGATGGCGCTGACTGCTTTGCCTTCTTTACCTATTTGTACTCTGGATGGTGTTGGTAATTTACGAATCCCCCAAAAAACACTTAAGTGTAAAAAACTACGCCAAGTACAGGATTGCTGTGAATTCCTCTAACAAAAAGTATTGATATCATATTATTGAGGCCAAGTACATAAGTCACTACATGTTTTCCTATTATATGATCTAGCACTGGCCCATCATTTTAATTATATTTTCAATGATTCCTATAACGTTTTCGCTACTCTTTTATGTTACTGCTGCTTCCCGTATTTAATTATGATTTAATGGTGATTTAATAATTAATAAAACTTTAGGTGATTCCTTATCGAGTACTACTTGGCGGGTCTTTATGGTTAATATTTTTTCTAATAGGCGGCGTGACTATTCCATGCGATTCACATTATATCCGGCAGATGGCGTTACCTCAAAAAACCTAAGTCACTAGCAGCCAACTTCAGTTCGGAGTCGTAGTTTTTTTTCTAATAGGCGGCGTGACTATTCCATGCGATTCACATTATATCCGGCAGATGGCGTTACCTCAAAAAACCTAAGTCACTAGCAGCCAACTTCAGTTCGGAGTCGTAGTTTTTTTTCTAATAGGCGGCGTTGTATCGGCGCCTATTAGACGTACACGCGTACGTTTATTTGTCGTCTTCGTCTTCTGTCGTCGTCTTCGCACATCCATCGCATTTTTTACACGACAGATGGCGCTGACTGCTTTGCCTTCTTTACCTATTTGTACTCTGGACGGTGTTGGTAATTTACGAATACACAACACAATCAAATACACTTTGTACGTGAACCTATCGTTCACACCGAATTTCCAGTTGACATAAGGCTGCTTTCACAATGGTATAGAATTATTAAGGCTTTCATGTGGAGCGCGTGTGTATGCGTGTACGTATGTGTGTATGTGTGTGCTTTAACATAGTTCCTCGTATTTTAGGTGACCATTTTTAGAGATATGGGATTTCCAGATGCTCCTCTCCGTAGTTTTCTATGTTCATACGTTTAGGGTAAACGGCCCAATTGACAACCGTTTCAGAGCGGCCGTGTCGGATTTTTGTTATTTATTCACGTGTGATATAGCCCAATTGAAAACTAAAGGTTTCAACACGTGCGTTAAAGCCTTGCGAATGAGATTCACCTATTATACAAGTGAAACTATCAAGGTCGATTAATAAAATTATTGTTTTAATAGCGCTTCTCTGCTGCCGGGGTTTCTGACCGTTGAGAAACATCATGTAGTTTGTGACCCCTGCGTGTACCCGACTTATGACCGCCTTGATGCAGTGTATGGCGCCTGCGCAATTTATGACGCCTGCGCGTACCCACTATCCGCCAGTTCCGAATATCCCCATACAAACGGGTTAAATTCCAATTTATGTAGTTTCATGGACATGCATTATGTACGAATAACGAAAAATGTTTAATTAGTACATAACTACTTTATTTTTTTACATTTGTGAAAAATATTTACAAAAAAAGCAAAACATAGTTATTCAGAGTATTTACGGTTTTTGTCTCTTTCTTTCTGGCTCGTTTTCTGAGCGTTCTAACTCTTCTTTTTTCTTTATTTGTTTCGCGACTTTATCTTGTTCCTTCTGAATTTTCTTCTCAGTTTTTCTAATTTTCGGCTATCCTTTTTTTCATCGACTTGGCTGTTTTTGCGATCTCTTGTTGCTCCTTTTTCATCTGAGCTTTCCTCAAATGTTCTTCTTTTCTTGTCTGTTTTCTCTCTTGTTCTATACGGTTTTTTTCATCTTTCGCCCTAGCATATTCTACCCATTCCATAGATATAAGTACTGCTGGCACTTTATGCTTTGTTAAATTTTAGTTTGAAAAATATCCTTACAGGTAGTAATGTACCACGCTTTTTGTAGAGCAACGTGGTCTTTTGAATCTTGTAAAGTGTTATGCCGTAAGGTCTTATAAATAATTGAAACACTTCTTTCGATAATACAAATTACTATAAGTAATTTGTGTGTGAATTCTACTTGTTTCATAACGACGTTCACCGTTCGTAGGGACTATGACGACTGACTTTAAATGCGCTGCTCGCAGAGCAACTTACAAAAAGGTATTCTTATGCCGAGATATAATTTTGATGACTAAGGATCTAGAACTGTGCCGAAGTGTCGCGCGGTAATTTTTGTTATTACTATATCTAACAAAGATAGGGGCATAACAAAAGATTCGATGCTGTTCTTACAGGCATTCCCCTTTTCACCGCGTCTAAGGATTTCTCAAGATCAGCATTTGTGTATCTCTGTGCAACACTTTCCTTTTTCCTAATTAGATAAACAATGTATATGTATATTGATATTTGTATTATATAATACAATACAATTTTTCATTTTGAAAAAGCAAACTATAATGAAAATGAAAGAAATATTGCACCTTTTCGAAGAAGTCTGTGGATGCATAGATGAGTCTGCAATTTTTGTAGTCTCAAACAATTTCTTTTTTATACCTAAAACACGTAGAATAAAGGACACAATAATATATATTTGAACCTTTCTTCGTGAAAAAGGTATCTGTAGTGACAAAAAAGTATTTTATACCTTTTTGCTAAAGCTTTTGATGGAATAAATGGATCAGCAGTTTCCCTGCAGTTTCCACTGTCTCTTCAAATTTATTGTTCACCACAGATGTTAATTTATACCTAAAAATACATATCATGGTAAATACAATAATAAACATTAGAATTAATTCTATTATCAAACTATCTGTGTTATAGAAAAAAGCATGTCATACCCTTGCGATACAGTCTTCGATGCAATTGCCAAGGGTGTTGCCACCAGAGTTTTCCTTACCTCTTAAACACAATCTTTCAGGGTAGACTTTTTTTCCTTCCTATCAACATTTATAACGCATCATTCAAATATATTGTAACGTTCCGACCTTATACTCCCCTATCCTTTATCCTTTTTCCTTCCCAATCATCATTCTCGATGATGGATACGTCAAGAGCCCCACATAAGAGTGCATAGCGCACTGTGGATGTGCATAACAGTATCTGAGAGAACTCCTCAAATCCTAGAATTCCTCAAAAATCCTATCGACCTCTCACAGCGACGCCGATAAAGGAAAGAGAATATAGGACCTTTAATTCTCTAATATTGCATAATTCCCTTGAATCTAGTCACAGCGACAGTCATGAGGATATAATATTAGAAATTATTACCTTTAACATTCCTAGAATCCTAAAGACAGTCAACAGACTGAAATCAAAACAAACAAGTGCCCAGACGCTATAAGCCGGCACGCGCCAAATACAATAGAAATACCAGTAAGCCGGTACTTGAAGAAACCGGTAATCCAATTAGTCAAATCAAAT